CGACTGCAGGGCTCCCAAAGCCAATCGCGCTCCGCCTCCCAGTCGCTCCCCCGCCCCCGCCAGGCTTCTCTCCGGCGCCCAGCCGGGAATTCACAAAATACCGGACATTGCACCTGTCCGGTATTTTCTGAATTTTTCTACCGGACAGACGGTGCAAATACCAGACTGTCTGGTAGAAAACCAGACACCTGGCAACCCTACCTGCCACAGTGAAGCCACCTCCCCAGGAGCCATCTGAGTGCAACCGAGACCATTAACCAATAAGCATTATTGGTTATACTCTAACATCTCTTGCGTCAATCATAAAAATGTAGACCTATAAGAGACTTTAGGAGGTCCGCTAGTCCCCCCTCCCCTGCCCCGTACTGAGGCAGGACCAAGCACACTTAGATCATCCCTAAGGATGTACGTCTACATTGATGTTATTTCAAAATAACAATGCAAATGTCTTGCAATTCCATGATTTTTTAAAATAATTTCAAAATAACAGATGGCTTATTTCAAAATCTGCAAACCTCATTCCACGAGGAATAATGCTTATTATGAAATAGCTATTTCAGAATAGCAGTAGTTTGGATGCTCCACTGCTGCTATTTCGCAATAGCTCCTCTCCAGGGCCTTTCAAAGTAATTACTCCCCAGTGCCTCCTGAGGCTCTAATTCAAAGTAGCACGTCCACATTAGGGAAGCCTGCCTTGGATTATTTTTTAGGCTTCCCTGTAGTGTAGACTGGCTATTTCAAAATTAGCTATTTTGGAGTATTTCTTCCAAAATAGCTTACTTTGAAATAAATATGCAGTGTAGACAAACTCTAACAAGCATTTGTCTAACCCCTACTTAAAACGGTTGGCTCCTCTTTGCTTCAGTAATATAGTAACAAATATCGCTACTGCTGAGTACACTGGCAAGTGTTTGCCACATGAGATCGAGCATTTGAGAGTTCTAACATAGAGTATTACTTTCACTTTCAGCAGTAGAATTACTTGGAACAGAATTAAAGGGAACAAATGAAGACCATGATCTGCTTTTGACTTCTGCAGCACCAGATGTTTCCGGGATCCATTCACTGTTTGCCTTAATTCCCTCATGGACAAAGAAGATTTTGTCCAAACGAGAGTCTGCCATTAACCAGCAGCTGGTCAGTAAGAGTTGGGTGATGTTTAATGTCTGAAAAGAGTCATAGTGAAGATCATTGGGAATTTAGTACAGGCAGTCCCCGGGTTACATGGATCCGACTTATATCAGATCCCTACTTACAAACGGGGTGAGGCAACCCCGCACTAGCTGCTTCCCCCCAGCAGACCAGGGAGACACGAAGCTAGCGCCCCCGCCAGCAGACCAGGGAGACGCGGAGCGGCTTTTCTCAGCAGACACCTCAGCTTGAGAATAAAGGACTGAGGGAAATGAGGTGTGGGAGAATAAAACTGAGCTCTGGAGAAATGTTTGGCTAGAGTTTCCCCTACGATATGTACCAGTTCCGACTTACATACAAATTCAACTTAAGAACAAACCTACAGTCCCTATCTTGTACGTAACACAGGGACTGCCTGTACTTAATTAATACAGAGTTTCTCATTATGTCTCATATGATTATGTTCACCTTCAGTAGTTCAGCAGTAACATCTTCTAAATGCATGAGTTCTTTATGACTGTAGTGACAGATATAGTCAGGTGTATGCCATATGTCAGGGCTACTCAATACGTGGCCCGCGGGCCGCATGTGGCCCACAGCCCGTTTCTTTGCGGCTCACGATGCAGTTTGGGTTTACGCAGGGCTCAACATGCGGCCCACAGGTGGGAGCCAAAACAAAAAAGTGGTCAATATAATGGTCTTCTGTTGGTATGTGTTTTAGTATTAAATTCCTGGACTGTTATTGCTCATTAAAAGTGCTATTGTGTGGATGGAAATTGGGTAAATATTGCATTTTATTAATATGTGCCTATCCGTGTGAAGGAAGCTTTTTGCATATATATTTGCATATACATGCAACCATACTTAAGTTGCGGCCCTCGGCATGTGCTGTGAGTATCATTGTGGCCCCCGGAGCTTCCAGAGTTGAGTAGCCCTGCCATATATATTCTAATTCTCACAGTAATAAAATGCAACTGTACCAGTAGGTGAATTTGTTTCCTTAAGCTGCACATTCTGAAATGAAAGTCTGGCCACTGAATAATGTCACTTAGGTTAATAATTATATTTGGGAATAGATAGTGTAAACAAATTTGTCGAAACAGATAAAAGCAGATTCATTGTTGGGATGGCAGTGCTCTTAAATGCAAAGCTGTTAATTGGTGTATCGTCTTTTTCTCTTTCTTCCTTACATTGCAGAACTTATGCTGTAGTTTTGTATTCAAATAGGTCTATATACAACATAGTTTTAGTTTTTTTCCCTCCCCAGGTGGAAGATATGCCAAGAATTTCAGTGTCTTCTGGGTATGGGATAGTTCTTCAGAAATGTGCAGTGGTAAGTTTTGAGGTACAGCTTTCTCTTACTTGAGGAATGTTAGGATTCAAATCTTCTGTGAACATTATTGTCCAATTATATAAAAAGAGAACTCCAATATAAGCCAAAGCCAGTACACAGAAACACATACTTTTACGTTGTATAATAAAGGGAAGAAGTTGTTGTACAGTAAATGTAATTTAATATTTGAATATAATCTTTAAGGAATGAGCTTTGATACAATAGTCAGCAGCATGTACTAATACTGTATGGCTTACAGAACATTACTGAGTCCTTATATTATTGATGAGTTGATATCAGTGGTATCTTAAATCAAAGTTACCCATGTCAAAGGTTCCTGCTCCCTAAAGGCAGTATCAGAATTAGTAGGGTGAGAATCACTATGAGAAACATCAGTAGTTCTGAAGACTCTAGGAGCATGAGGAATGATAGCAGTAACTAGGGATGTTAAAATTAGATTAATCAACTAATCGAATAGTTGATGAGATTTCCATCGACTATTCGATTAGTTGATAAGGGTGTTTCTGCTTTGAAATGTAGCAAGAACTGTCCGGCTGTTGTTACATTTCAAAGGCGGAAGTGCTGCTCCGTGTTTCACCTTTAAAATGTACAAGAGCCCCAGCAGGGGTGTTATGCTTAAAAGAAGCACACGGGATCTTTTTCAGGGGGATAAAGCAACCTGCTGCATTTATTGATAATAAATATGCTATTTTGTTACATTTACACACACGCACGTCCTGCTGATGGAATAGCCAGTCTGTTGCTTGGCTCAACCTATTGGCCAGATAAGTCGGGTGCGAGGAAGGAGCCGGGTTCTTGTCAGTCTGGACTGACGCTCCATGGTCTTAGCAGGACAGAACCCAAAGAACCCTACAAGACACCCCATCCTTTATAGGATTTTCCTTCCATGCAAGTCTATGCATTTTGCCTTGACAGGCCTTAATCAGTCATTCAGCATAAAAATCAGTTTTTCTGCAACATATGTTTATTTGGAGGTTGTTTTTGCAGTCATCTGATATCAGTATGCTGACTACTCCTCCTGGATGTTGTCTTCTGGTGAAACTTGTTATCAGTTCCCTATCAAGGGTTTGCTTGCCGCTAACTTCAGGGTTTGTCAATCTGCCAGGTAGTCTGTGTCTTCAGTGTGCTTTCATTTAGTTGATCATTATTTGGTGCTTCTGAGTCTCTGGCCCCTCCTCTGACTATTTGGGCATGCTGCAATGGCCTTTACACTTATCTCTCCTAAAAACTTTCTCTCTCTTTTGGTAAGCTCAGAGAGCTGGTAGGTAAGGTCCCATGGGAAGCGAGACTGAGGGGAAAAACAACTGAAGAGAGTTGGCAGTTTTTCAAAGGGACATTATTAAGGGCCCAAAAGCAAGCTATTCCTTTGTGTAGGAAAGATAGAAAATATGGCATAAGACTGCCTTGGCTTAACCAGGAGATCTTGCATGATCTAAAAATAAAAAAAGGAGTCATAGAAAAAATGGAAACTAGGACAAATTACAAAGGATGACTATAGGCAAATACAGGAATGCAGGGGCAAGATTAGAAAGGCAAAGGCACAAAACGATCTGGCCCAAAATAAACAAACTGAAAATAATAGACTCTTATTTTATTTTAGTTTTTCTTGTAACTTTGAGAAGTTTGCAAAAATGTGTTTGGCTTCTTGGGGTAATATTTTCAAAACCATTCAGCTCTGATCCAACTGGGTATGAGGCTGGGTAATTAGGAAGTTATAAAGATCTTATTTCAGGAGCAAGATACAGTCTCTCCCCTGTAGACACTGTTTGAAGCAAGAGTCAAATGGGGGTCTCCCAGCAAGTTGGAAGCATCCAGGACCAATCAATGACTAGATACAAAGGGAGAAAGGACAGCTCTGTGATGTCCTGTATAACCATTAAGTCTCCTTTAAACCCTTGGCTAGTTGGTTTGGAATTGACAGTGTATTTTATACAAGCCTAAAAACCTACCTGCCTAAAGTAGATTTAGTTTGACTACTGTTAAGTCCATGTGGCAAGAAGAGTCCGTCTAATTTGAAGAAAATTTTAAACATTGTGTTTAGGTAGAATGGATTCAACTAATTTAGCTTTTCATTTTTACACTGGTCCAATCAAGTTAGAGCCAATTTACTCTGCCTGTGCTTTGCATGAAGAAAGATAAGGAGTCATGCTTCAAGTCAAGCTTGGATTCAGCCTTTCAAATGTGTACAAGCACTGGGAATTTAGCAGCTGATTTGAAAATACTGATCTGGTGAACTTAACTAGATTATATGCATAGACTGGAAAGTAGGAAAAAGAGAATACATACGCTTTACATTGCAGACCCTATGTTATCAAACTGGCCATAGATCGTAATTAACAGAACTGAATATTGATCATTTCAGTTACATGAAGTGGTGAGACAAAACCACCCATTTCAGAAAGCTTAATATAGCAGATTCACTGTTCCTTTATTGTAATAAGATCTCAGAGAGATGGAGTTCTGAAGTACTTGCATATTTGGTTCTTTTTGCTATTCATTAAAAGTTTCATTAGAAATGGCAAAGTCTTGCTGTACAAAATCAGAGCTAGTCTGCTCCAGATGGTAGGATTATCAGGAAATAATCTTTTCAGTGCTGCCAGTTGTAAAAATTTTTAAGTGCAATTATGTGTGAATTGTCTTCCACCTTTGGATCAAATTCATGTTCTATTTTAATTTGCTAATCTTGCCGATTTATTTCAATCCCAGTACATCAGAATAGGCATTTTCCTCCAACACCTGGCTGGCCATATGGCAGCCTCTAGTAATTTAAATGGAAAAGTGAGATCTATTTTGTTCCCTGATCTCATGAATGGTTCTGAGGCATTTCCTTTGCGAAACCAGGAGGGAAATTATATGTATTTACTCATTCAGGGAAATTATATGTATTTATTCATTCCTCAGGCAGATAATGCTATGAAACCCGGGTGTAAAGATGACTCACATATAATGGGCCTGGTTCCTCTATTTGTACATTAGAGGTGAGGGGGGAATAAAAGCCCCCTTTTATCAATGTGGCCCAGAAACTGTGCCATTCAACAAATGATGAGAACATCAGTTTCAGTGCTTTACAGGTGCAGTAATCTTAGTCAGGGCCCTAGTAAATCTTTATAAACAGAAGCAAGTTATACTTTAATTATTTTTTTGTGAATGATATCTCTCACTGTGACCTGAATTGCCATGTCTTTCAAATCAAATGTATGGAAATTCTTCCTAGAGTTCTTCCACACTTTCTCCAACATAAGATTCTGTCTGCAAGGCCCTGATCCTTCTTCCTTCCTTCCTTGCTTTCCCCTGATGGTTTCCTCTCCCGTCCTCCTCTTCCCCCATTGTTGCTTCTTCATCCCAATCTCCTGAGTACTAGTCCAAGGGCTGATAGCGGTTACCGATTACCTTTTAGAAACAGAACAAAAACCCCAAGGAGCTGTACTTGCTCAAGTGTCTCTGTGAGACCTTGCAGCAGAAGCAACCCAACAGCATCAGGGTCTGTTGTTGGAACAAGAGCTGAGGGCTACAAATGAATGGGGATTAGGATAGTTGTTTAAGGGAGATGGTGGCCTCAGGGCATGTATTCCCTGTGATAGCTGCAGCAGTAAGGACTCACCTCAATGGAGGTGAGGAATAAACATTTTTCCTCTCCTATATCATCTTTTATAGCATTTTCTGTAGGGCAGGTGTTTGGAACGTCAGGCCCAGGGGCCAGATGTGGCCCGTGGCTTACCCGGTTCCAGCCTTCAAGGCTCAAGCCCCCTCCCCCAGCATTGGGGAGCCTGAGTTGGTGCACAAACCCCTCCTCCCCCGCCTCCTGCTACCCCACCGTGGGGCTGAAGAACATAAAATCTACTAGGCCAGGGCTGGGCAATAATTTTTGATGGGGGGGTTGCTCTAAGATATTTGAAAGTGGTCGAGGGCCGCACTCTTTCATGGTATTAATGGAGAAGGTATGGGGTCTGGGATGGAGGTTAGGTGCAGAAGGGAGCTTGGGATTGGGGTGCAGGAGGAAGAATGCAGTCTGGGAGGGAGTTTGGATAAGGGAGGCAGTTGTGATAGGGCAGGGAACTGAGGTGCAGGGCTTTGGGATGTGACCTAGGGTATGAGGGGATTGTGATCTTGGGCTGGAGATTGGGATGCCAGATCTGGGAGGGGGTATGGGAACATGTGGAGTAGTGGGGCAGGAGGGGGCAGAGGGATGGGAAGGGATGTCAGAGGCAGTTTCTGGCAAGGAGACTTACAAGCCAGCAGCCAAACCAGCCTTCCTGCTTGCTTGCAGAATTAAAATCTTTCAGAGCTTAAAATGTTTCTGCCTACTCGGTCATGTGCTTGAATGAGTGACTGAGCAGTAGGATTGTGCTTCGTGGTTGCCTGTTATTCAAACAGGCAGCTCCCATTGGCCAGCTTCTGTCCAGAAACTGGCCAATGGGATTGTGATGGGGGTGAGAGTAGCATCTGAATCTTCCTCCCTCCCCTCTGGACTCATAAAGAGAAAACGCCCCACAGCCGCATTTCTGAGCGGCGTGTGGGGCTGTGGGAAAAGCAGGGGAGTTTGTCTCGGACTCCCCATTGACTCATGGGCCGGATCCAGTGGCTTAGCTGGGTGGATGCGGCCTGTGGGCCATATTTTGCCCAGGCCTGTACTAGGCTATGGTGTGTGAGGGGAATGTGAGGAAGAGTATCTTTCTATGGGGACCACATCAGTGAGGGGTTTTGTTTTGTTTTGGTTTTAGTTTCTCACTTGTGCGGTCCCCAACTGATTGTTCCGTGGATCAGCGGCCCGCGACCCAAAAATGGTTTCCCACCCCTGCTCTAGGGCTTGTCAGTAAGAGTATGTCTACACTACAGCATTAATTCGAACTAACTTAATTTGAATTAGTGCATCTAGATCTAAAAACTAATTCGAATTAGCATTTTGCTAATTTGAAATAGCATGTCCACATTGAGTGGATCTTGAACCGAAGTTAAGGCTAGGTGGAACCAGTGCCGGC